ATCTATTAGAGTTATTGATAAGGCATAACATTTGTATTATAGATTAGAACTACCAGTTAATAAATTAATAGTGTGTGATGTTTCAGTAACAGCATTGTTACCATCATCAGACAAAAGACTAAATGGCTAAACGCTTTTACAAAAACGTCACACACTATTAATTTATTTGGATTTAGTCTTATTAATTTGTATTTCAGAGTTATTGTCTGAATCCCGATATACAGTAAAACCCCTCTATAGTGAACCCCAATGGGACAGAGCTTTTGGTTCACTATAGCCACGATTTGGCCATTTTTTTTCACTTTTCAAAATTTTTAGACCGTATAATTAAAGGACAGCCATACACACTGGAAGAGGCTTCCTCTTAATAGTGGTCACTTTGTTTTAATTCCCTTAATTGACCAATTTCCTTACATTAATACTGAATAATAATAGAAATCATTAGATGATAGGTTCTTCTTATCATTAACATACATGTACCTCTATGTCTAATTTAAAAATCAAGACAAATCCTAGGCAAAGTTTTATTAAATATATATTCAAAGATATAAAATGATTTTAGAACATCATTATCACATTATATAATACATTGTTTACTTGGAAAAATGGCTCTAACACCTTGTTGCTTCAAAGCATTCTTCAAGCATTGCACCATTCAAATAAAGTTGGTGTTTTTCTTCCATTTCATTTTCCCACATATTCTTCTAGGTCTAGATTTCATTTTTTTAAACCTGTCATGCAAAACATTGCTGACTTTAAAATCACCATAGTTAATGGCATAAAAATAGTTTTTGTTTGATCACGGGACCATTTATTTGGATTTTTTTTTTAGCCCTAAAACGTACGATCGCGATCGCGGCAAAAGTTGAGGTTGATTCCTCTTTGTAACAATTTTTAATAGCTTTATATTTTATCTTTTATAATAGAAAAGTTATATTCTCTTATTTTAATATGTTCTTAACATTTTGCCTGTGTTGTTTCACTTTGAAAAGTTCTGAAAATAGCCTTTTTTTTAAAAAGAAATAACGCTTTTGTTTTTAAAATGCCTTTGTTTTCTTCATTTTGGAAGCCATTTGTATTTTTATATTTCAAATTTAATGGATGAAAATATATTCTATTTAATAAAAAGTATAATACGTTAAAATTTATACAACATAACAGCAAAAATAAAGTGCAAAATTCAAAACAAACAATGCCGCTAAATTTATTGTTTTGAAATCGCGATCCTCGAGCTGAAACATGCTCAAAATTTGGTTGTTTTAATTTTTTTTTTTAATTACAATTCTAAGTTCGTTATAAGCATAGTATTTTAAATAGATTTTATTATTTTGGGACCGAAAATAGATTCGTTATAGGGGTAGTTCGTTATTCTAAAAATCGCAAAGTTCGTTATAACGATGGTATTTTCAATGGAATGGAATTGGGAATCGTTATAAGGGAAGGTTCGTTATATCCAGGGTTCGTATTAGCGGGGTTTTACTGTACATGCTAAAAAGTACAACTTCCTTAAGTTTTTGTCCATGAGTGTAGTTAGTATAGAGTGTAGTCCATGGACTAAGGTGACAATCACTTCTGTGTGAACAGATACCTCTGTCTGTCAAACAAAAGCTGCGCCAGCGTGGTGTTCTGGACGTACATAGAGAACCACCCAGAGATGGTGAACAAAGGCCCGCCCTTCCTTCTACCTCTCCTCAACTTCCTCTGGTTCCTGCTGTTGGCGGTGGATGAACCGCGCAGCGCAGTCTTCACCATCCTCTGTCAGCACTACAAGCCCTCGCTGGCACGCGACCCTTCCTACACACAGGTACCCTTTTTACCTTTGGCCATACTTGCCTTGAAAACACTTGCTCTCTCTTGTCCGATCACCAAATTTATGCAATATTGAAGGTCCGGTTAGTACTTTGGAGGGTGACCACTTGGGAACACAGGATGCTGTTGGCTCTTCCTACTTATGAGGCTTGGTGGAGTAATGGCATTAGACCATTCTTCTTCTTTCTTATCTCCACTCAATCATATTAAGGTATCAAGCTTGTAAAGTCTGCGCGACCGCCGATGCAGCATAGTGGGGAGATTTGACAACCATCATGATTGGGTGAAGTAAAATGCGTCTGCCTTTGTCATTAAGACTGGGAGCACTACTCAGTGGCAGGCCACTGACTTAGCTCCAAATGAAATGGCCGCCTCTGACATGAGAAACAGACGCCATGTGCAGCTGCTCCTAACATGGGGTACAAACGCTGATCCTGTATCCCTGGATTAGGAGCCCTTACAGGGTACTATCAGCTGAGCCCAGGTTTTTTTTTAATGAGCTTGTTACTGCTCCCCCTCCTCCTTTTTCATCCGGGCTTGGGACTGGCAAAGGCGGAGTTTCAATTTCTTTTAATATTTTATAATAACCAATTTACACGACTAATTATTCAAATTTTATTTTCGGAATCAGTACAGCAGAGAACTCCGGGTGTTTCTGTAGTAATGGTGAACAGGGTACAATCCATCTTCTCATTGAATGTCTGGTAGGGAAGAGAACAGAAGACAGGGAAGGATAGACATTACTGACTTAATAACTTTCATTGATACTAAAACCTTTGGTAGATTTATTTTCACAGAATTATAAATGAATATAATTATACTGTAATGTATAACTATAACCTCCTAACATGGAGTACAAACGCTACTCATCCTGTATCCCTGGATCAGGAGCCCTTACAGGGTACTATCAGTCGGGCCAGCTAAACCCAGGTTTTTTAGCGAACTTGTTACTGCTTCCCCTCCTCCTTTTTCATTCGGGCTTGGGACCGGCAAAGGAGGAGTTGCATAAACCATTGATTTTCAACAACCACAGTCTGGTAATGAATCCCTTATTGAGCACTCTATTTTTCTGAAGAAAAAAATCTCCCCCAAAGGCTCCCCCCTCCAATTCTTGCAAAAAAAGCCCGATCTCCACCAGTGAGTGCAAATATCCAAATGGTCTGATCTACTTGTAAGTACAAAAGTCAAACTGCTTTCTACATGTAAAGACCCTGGTTGCACTTACAGTAAAAAAGTAAGTACAAAAGTGAAATTGTACTAGGATCAAGTAGATAAATTAAGAAAAAGGCCTCTCCTGATCATGCAACTAAAATTTGATGATGGGTTGCTCCATCTATTGGAATAAATTGTGAACTAATGATTCTTTTTCAATTATTTCAAGAATTGTCTATGCCATTACTCCACCAAGCTTCATATGTAGGAAGAGCCAACAGCATCCTGTGTTCCCAAGTGGTCACCCTCCAAAGTACTAATTATTTCAAAAATTGGCCAAATACCTTTTTTTAATTAAAAAAAGAAAAGTTAAAGCAGTCACTAACTACCCGCCATTATTATCATGATCTGTACCATGTGTTTTTGGGATAATAATTTTTAAAAGTTCTCCTCTTTTAGAGATTATATGGTACTAGAGGAATGACCCGGCTTCGCCCAAAAATTCCCACGAGTGAAATTTCCTTCATACTGAAAGTACATCGATAATAAATAGTTGAAGAGCCATAGAATAGCAATACAGAAGAAACACATAAAACCACAGGCCAAAAGTGTGTGTGATGCCACAAATTGTATTGTATTAGTGTTTAGGTATTTGATTTAATTATTTTTTGCAATCCATTCAGTTGTTTCAAAATCAATATAGTTTAAATAGACCGCAGCTTTTCCTCCCAACCCCCATTAACTATTGATTTGCCCGAGTTGAGTGAGTGACTGCGATGCCCATTTTCTCAGAAAAAATAGGTTTATAAAAAAAATTAATTAAAAATACTGGCATGTAAATATTTTTCTGTAAAAAATAAAAAAGCACATGGAAATATTAGGCAAACATATGTGTTTTCTAATGATTTTGACTGCATTTTATCCGATTTTTTAAAAGATATTTAAATAAAGGCCAGAACAAAAATTAATAAAAATATGAAATCCATTATTTACATACAGTAACGCTAATTTGGTAAAGTTTTTTTTTAATTGCATTGTGTGCACTTACCGTAACTTAGTAATATAAATTTCTCTCTCAATACTTTTGTAAAAAAAAGTGACACTCGTATAAAAAGATATTTAAAAAAAAGTACGCAAGCAACTTGAAAAGAAATGCAGAACGCTCATTGGTCGCTTAATTGGCCTCGTGTTGTTACTTCGCCTCGTATTTACTCCGCGTAAAAAAAAGTTCTTCAAATGAAAAAAAGAAATAGCCAAAAATACTAATCAAAATGTAGCCGAAATTTTTCCTCAACTTTATAAAAAGCGACATGCAAAATTTGGTACCAATTGGTTCAGTAGTTTTTGAGTTTATCGCGAAACAGACAGACATTGACTTTTATATATAGAGAGATATAAGGTGCAGTAGAGAGAGAGAGATACCATAGCCTAAAAACCCAGCTAACCCTGGTATCTCCTTGTAGGAAAGTGAGAGGACATCTCACAATGCTGTTTTTAATAACCAAAAAGGACATAAACCAAAGTTTTTTTCCCCCCACGATTGAATTATAAGGTTAGCAGGTAATGATAGGCTACAATTTAAATTCTAGATTAGAAAAATAAGGTATATTAAGACCAAAAAAATAGTGTATGATGTTTTGGTAATGTTACTGAAACTTCACTCACACTATTTATTTATTTGGTTTTGGCTTTATTATCTTGAGTTATCAGATTTTTAAAAAATGCAGGCAAAACGGAGTAAACAAAGATAACAAGAAGTGGTTTTGGTGAGGTTACATGATGGTGGCAGGCAGCTCTCTAGAGCAGGAGTTCCACTGTGCTATTATTCCCAACACTCCTGTTTCAATACAATAAAATAATTCCATGGTAAAACATGTTTTCTCCAGTAGAAGGGCATTCGTTCCTGAAAGCTAGAGAATAAATATGTTTTTGACACTATTTGGATTATAGATTAGAAACACAAGGTAATAAGACCAAATAAATAAATAGTGTGTGACGTTTCAGTTACAGCGTTGTTATCATCTTCAGACAAAAGTACTGAATGTGCCGGGTAGCCTAGTGGTCATGGTATCTGCCCGGTAAGCGGAACACTGGGTTTAATTCCCATCCCATTTAGTACTTTTGTCTGAAGATGGTAACAACGCTGTTACCGAAACGTCACATACTATTTATTTATTTTGATTTGCTCTTATTACCCCTTGTGTTTATGTTTTTGAAAAGATACTCTCCCTGGAGACCTAATATATTTTACTCGACTCTCATTTCATTTGAAAGACTTTTCATTACTCGGCCCGACACAAATCTGTTGAATTACCGCCTACTGGAGTGACATGGTTTTAGGCTCTGGTCTCTCATGAGAGGCTGTGGAATCTCCCACCTTTATAAAAATCAAACCTCCAATGAGAAACCACCTCCAGGAGTATCCATGTTTATATAAGAGCAGCTTCTCTCCTGGGAGGTTTGTACTGATCCATCCATATTTACACGCTGTGGTTGTGTGTGCCAGTATCTCTCTAGGATTGGCCAGCTTTTCTTCGGCCTACCTCCTACCAGTCCTAAATGTCGAGGACCCGGAGGTGGACTCTTTGGTAAGTTGACAACTCATCCTGCGATGGCGGGGTGGCTAGGACATTGGGGAAGTTCTTGATTTTATAAACAACTAGACGAATGACCCGGGCAACGCCTGGGTTTACCCGATTAAATGTTTTATTCAAACACTATTCATTACAATTATAAATTGGCGCCGCGGATGTGACTCTTGTGAAACATCCCGCTCCAAACTTAGGTCAGCTGATATTACCTCCCATCTTCACCGCTAGAGGCGCTGCTCGCGAGCTAAGTAGAATAATTTGAATATATAGTTTTAATAACTGATTTATATATATATTTTAAAATAGCTTATCGTCTTCCCCATATTTTTTTACCTATGTATGGAAATTTTGGTTTGAATTAGTGAACTACTGCGAATTTGTATACAGGACATACAAACATTCATTTTTATATATATAGATGTTATGGAGGTCCTTCAAAAACAATTCTAGAGACAGAGGAAACAGAAAAAAATTCTATTTTCAGTTATGAACAGCCGAGGAAAGTCCTCCTCCAGACAATCAGGAGTTTTCCTTAACTCATACTTCCCCTCAAGATTCTGGATAAACACACATGTACAAAAGTCTTTATTAAGTCTTATACACGGAGTCTTCAAGTGAAATTAATAAAATAAAAGTAAAAGATAATCACATTTAATGGTAATAATGAAAGTTATATGCAGGAAAACCACCTAATTGAAAAAGTTAGGCTTATAAACAGAATGGTTTGGGTAAATCTGAATTCTGGATAAACATATAGATGGATGTTTTGACTGATGTGTCCATCAATAATTGACAATATGACCCAGAATAAGTATATTGCTACGGCGTTTTATGGTTTCCACAAGTCCATATCTCAGAAGAAGGCCAAGTGACACTCACTCCTCACTTTCTTACTGCTACTCTTTTTGTGTTGTTTTTTCTTGCTTCCCTCTTTCTCTTTATTGTTTTTTTTCTTTTTCGTCTGTATATATCGTTATTTCCTTTGTCTCACTGCTTTGTTCTTATGCATACCTCTGGTTAATCCTGTATAGGGTCAGTGACCCTGAATAAAGGCTTTTTGTTGTTGTTGTTGTTTTGACTGATGTGAAAATAGAGTGAATGTCATTGTCATCCATCTCATACCCAAAGAGCCAGCAGTCTTGTAGGTTGGGTGACTGCTGGAAGGCCTTCTGGATGAGACAACAGTATAGGCTACTAGAGCATAGGTCAACAACTATCCAGCTTGTCCTGTAGTTTAGTGAACTTCTTCTTTCTTATCTCCACTCAATCACACTAAGGTATCAAGCTTGTAAAGCTCGAGACTTTTGATGGTGTCTGCCTGGGAGGAGTAGAGCTCATCAATGGATGAGTCTTCTTCTTCTTTCTTATCTCCACTTAATCACACTAAGATATCAAGCTTGTAAAGCTCGAGCTTTTGATGGTGTCTGCCTGGGAAGAGTAGAGCTCATCAATGGATGAGTCTTCTTCTTCTTTCTTATCTCCACTTAATCACACTAAGATATCAAGCTTGTAAAGCTCGAGCTTTTGATGGTGTCTGCCTGGGAAGAGTAGAGCTCATCAATGGATGAGTCTTCTTCTTCTTTCTTATCTCCACTTAATCACACTAAGATATCAAGCTTGTAAAGCTCGAGACTGATGGTGTCTGCCGGGGAAGAGTAGAGCTCATCAATGGGTGAGTCTTCTTCTTCTTTCTTATCTCCAATTAATCACACTAAGATATCAAGCTTGTAAAGCTCGAGACTTTTGATGGTGTCTGCCTGGGAAGAGTAGAGCTTATCAATGGATGAGTCTTCTTCTTCTTTCTTATCTCCACTCAATCACACTAAGATATCAAGCTTGTAAAGCTCGAGACTTTTGATGGTGTCTGCCTGGGAAGAGTAGAGCTCATCAATGGATGAGTCTTCTTCTTCTTTCTTATCTCCACTTAATCACACTAAGATATCAAGCTTGTAAAGCTCGAGATTTTGATGGTGTCTGCCTGGGAAGAGTAGAGCTCATCAATGGATGAGTCAATACAGTCAATAGTTTAGTGAACTTTTTTTTGCTTATCCCTAGTACATGTGGTACAGGCCATGATAATCATGGTGGGTAGTTAGCGACTGCTTTTTTTTTACTGTAAGCACACCACATGTCTACACATGTGAAAGCAGTTCGACTTTGCACTTACAAATGTGCCAGAGCCCCGTTTGGTTACTTGCACTCGCTGGTGGGATTGGACTTTTGCAAGAATCGGAGGGCCATTCGAGCATTTTTTTTTAATTTTATTTTTTTAAAACAGAAAATGTGTCCAATGCGGGACTCGAACCTGGGTCGTAGTGGTCGAAAACCAAACGGTTTAACCAGCCTTCCACCGACCCCCCATTTAGTAAACTGACTTGTATGAGTGCCAAGTTTGTTCACCAAGTATCTCTCTGTCTTGGTAGGTTCCACTATCCTTTCTGTAATAGAGAGCCTTGCTCATCAAACTGGAACCTTCCCAGAATTTACTTCCTCAGTTTAATCTACCATACCACTTTGATTATGTATTGGTCTGTTCTTCTTTTATGTTGTTGTTAGTATCCATCAAGTCAACTTTTGGTGACACTATGGTGACAAATATTCTTCAATTTAATCTGTTAGTGGCCATCACTCACAGCTCATTCTAGTGACCTTCCGGTGGTAGCTTTCTTGATCCCTTTCTAGCCAGCTTATTGCAGGTTTTTCTTCAATTTTTTTTTCTCAACATCAACATCTTTTCTAAACCATAGGCCATAACTTTACAGGTATTCTACGGACATGACTTCTCTTAGAACAGTAGAGATGTGTTGTTTCTTATCCCCTTGTACAAAGATTTACACAAATTCCATGAATTTATGCTCCTCCAGCTGTATGATAAATAAGCAGCGGCCTCTCCCAGAGGACCTATTTAGTGCATCTAATGCAATCTAACTAAAACTTGCATACTAATTCTTGTATATATTTCAAATATCTTTCGTTCTTTCCTTTCAATGTTTAGTTTACCTTTGTAGTGCAAGTGTCTCTAGGGGGACATAGCGCTCTAAGTTAAAATAAAATACAAGCCAAAATGTGTTCTTGAGCTGCAGGTGCCAAGCTACATTTTGGGCAAGTGGGGGTAGATTTAGGTATATTTTCTATCTTCAATTGCTTGAGATGGTCAGTTATAAATCTTGTTAGTGTAGTTTGGTCCATGAGGACAGTAGAAATACTTATAAATACTCATATCATTCAATACTCTCCTGCAAATAATACACAAAAGGACCCATAATTTTCTACCTATGGCTGGCCAGTGACATGTGAATCCCCCATATATAAAGTGTTGTTGTTGTATGAGTGGACTGCTCCTCTCTTTGGTTTATAACTGACTAGCCGAATGACCCGAGCAACGCCCGTGTTTTACCCGATTGAATGTTTTGATTCAAATACTATTTGTTACAATTATAAATTGGCGCCTTAAATAAATGCATATATTAGTTAATAACTATAGCCTATGTGCTTTATCTGTCTATGTACTGTTGGCTTCCGTAGGCGTCTCTTACTGGGAAAAAGAAAGAGAGGATTCCATTTGGTTATTAACTAATATATGCATTTATTTAAGGAGCGACCCGCTCCAACACAATAGTTACAGAAATGGGGGGGGGGGGGGCATGATGGGGGAGGGGGCAAAGGTGGCGTGATCGTAGCCGACCAATAGGAGGGCGCCATTCCAAAAAAAAAGCAAACCGTGACAGAGGCCACGCATGACGCTCGTAACTGCATATAGAATAATCCAAATTGTGCCTTATCAAAGTTTTAACCATTTCTTATTTCTATATTCAACATCTCAATAAAGAAGTTTGTACTGGTTTTGTTGGACAGTGCTTAGAACCACAGTGGGTTGTGATGTATTATCAGGATGTTCTGGGCAATGCTTGTGTTTTGGACCAAGCTCTTACATTAGATTGCAACCAATCAGGGGATTTATAAGAACCTGATAAAAGTTGGTTGTGTTTATGTACCTGCTGATGGGCTAGCAAAAAAAGAGGGCACAAGAGAACCCTTGCCATGGAAAAATAAACTTACTTTTAAAGACATAGAGACAGTAGCCAAAAAAAAATAACTGGAGGATCCCTCCTAAACATAGCTGGTACAGTGGAGTGAACCCAGGAGGAGCTCTGAACCTCAGACAGCATCAAACAACACTAACAAGATTTTAAAACAGGCCATCTCATGCCATTGAAGATAGAAAATAATAACAAAATCTACTCCACTTGCCCAAAATGTAGCTTAGCACCTCCAGAACCCATTTTGGCTTGCATTAGATGTACTAAAAACTCCACCTTTGCCGGTCCCAAGCCCGGATGAAAAAGGAGGAGGGGGAGCAGTAACAAGCTCACTAAAAAACCTGGGCTCAGCTGGCCCCGCTGATAGTACCCTGTAAGGGCTCCTGATCCAGGGATACAGGATGAGCAGCGTTTGTACTCCATGTTAGGAGTGGCTGCACATGGCGTCTGTTCCTCATGTCAGAGGCGGCCATTTCTTTCAGAG